ACTATGTGGTTTTTTACTGTTACCTTACAATTGTCCATGAGGCCAACAATGTAATAGTTTATTGTGTTCAATCTGCATTTGTCGTTCTTTCTAAAACATTATTTTAAAGCTAAATTATTTGCTTACACTTAAGTCAGTGTGCGTATATTTTTCTTTATTCATGCTGAGTACTCTAACACCTGACTTGATACGCTTAAGTCAATCTCCATTTCCCTATTCTTTTTATTCTTTGATAAGCTTCATATCCATTGTTTGTTTATGATAAGAGTGCAATTGGTTTCTCTGGTGGATTGCCATGGATGGAGTATGACGTCATAGTTCTGGGGAACAAGTCTCAAGAAATGCATTCTCGGTGGCCTTCCTCTCTTCGTTGGTGGTCTCAAGCTAACTCCATCATTTCTTTATTCCTTGCATTTCTTTTCTGAAGATTCTGTGGTAGCTGGCAAACCAAAAGATCCATGAACATTCCTTTCAAACATTCCTTTCATCAAAGACCTGGAGTGCAGGTGAATCAATTTTCACGAACTCATCATTAGAAACAGGAATTGTGAAAATGAAATCCTGGACCACGTCGTTCTTGCAACGAATAGACGAAGGCGTCGTCCCAAACTGAATGAATTTGTCCAAAAGAAGTAGCCAAGCCATTATGAAATGTAAAACCCAGAACACAAGCTTGAACCTTGGATTTCCTGCAATCAGAATCAAGAACTAGAGAAGCTACTACAGAATCTTCAGCTTTCTTGTTGAATAAAGAAACCAACTCCTTTGCGGTGCCTGCCTTGCGATTAGAATCAAGAAATGGAGGAATTTTCACATAATCTTTAGCTTCCCTGTCGAACAAATTGAAAACCTTTTCATCCTCCACAACCAAAGCTTTTCGAAAAAAACCCACAACTTTCTTGAAATTTGGAATTGGAACGAAATATTGCAAAACCATCGTAGTTGTGTTTGCCGTAGTCGCGAACCTTCTTAAATCTCTTCAATATGGGTCATAAACAAGGACGAGTCTTGGGCTTGTAACTTTGATGAAATTGAGAGAAGAACTAATTCACTCTCTCTTTTCCTCATGGAAGGATTGAAGCTTGAGAACGACTTGGTTCGATTTCTCAAAAGAGATAGGAGATGCCATTTTGATGAACGGCAGATGCGAACCCATATCGCATTTGTCCACAAAATCGTGGTATAGTTTCTCAAATCGAGCATCAGAAGAATCTTGACAAGCTTCCATGGCGTCAAATCGCTGGATTAGCACATTGAGAGTGTCGTTAATTGCAGCAAGATGGTTCTGAAATTTCATGGCTTCCTTCGTCGACGCACGATTCAATCGACAAAAGAGAAGGGATTGAGGGATCAAGACTGGCTCTAATACCAATGATAGAACGCCACTTCAACCTTTACTCAAACGCTAGATATACTAACAAGAACACTAATACAATCAAATATTCATTCACCCTTTTGCATATGCACATATCTCAACTTATATAGCTGGTTGCAGGCTAAAGAAATCCAACTCAACAATTGACACCTAGCTAACTAAGTGATGCCACTTGGCATCCTAACAGACTCAGCCACCCAAAGTCACGCGTGGCTAGAGCGGATATACCCTCTATGCACCTAATCTCCATTGTCTGCATTTTAGATTAATTTAAAGTAGAATATCGTTTGTATCAAAAAGAGAATATTTCATTTTGCTAGGGTCAAGACTCGCAGCCACCAGTTCTACAACCAACTGCAACCACTGGGGTTGTAATTTCAGCCACAATCAATGGCACTGCTGCTTTCGAGTCTAGCAATCCTGGCTTGGTGCGGTCGGAACCAACCTCGAATGCCAACCAAGATTTCGCCCAAGACGTAGTTAAGGTAAACAATATTTCCTCTTTGATTTGTGCGCTTGCGTGTGCTAGTTTTATTTGAACCTTTTCAATAACAAATCTGTTCAACTTCAAACACAAGAGTTAAGAGAAAGAAACTGAGCCTAACTCGATTGAAAATAGTAGAATTTGGAGGGATAAGTTTCCTTCAAAACTAATCTGTCTTCTAGCTTCAACTTGGACATAATTTGGAAGTTGGCATCCATATCTTTGTTTGAGATACATCATATATATCTATCCCATTCCAGTCCTTTGACACTAGCTTAAAGAGGCCTCATTAGTTTTCTTCAATGTCTTTCTGTTGTAGAGTCATGAGTTTGTAGAAGGTGAGGTGATGTGCTCTCTTGAAGAACTCCATCAACTTTTAGATCGAGCATCTGCACCCAATACACTGGCCAACTCCTCTATTTTGAATCCTACCATAGACTTGCAAGCCATAGCGACAACCAGAGCTACTTTAGAAACGGACTTTATTACTATGGCTTGCGAGGTTCAACGAACTTGCATGATTTCAAGCATCCAGAGCTTGGTAGATTCTAATTGCTTTTCCGCCGGCACCAGACCAATGATTATGGGTTTGTTGATGCAGCCAGAGCAATATCTTCCAGCCTACTCCAAAGCCTATTCTGAGTATAATAGGGGCAAAAACTTGACTGACCAAGTCCAAGCTACAAAACAGCTTCTTCAACCTAAGGTTCAGTTTTGTGATAGCAAGGAGAGAGAATTTCAAGAGCTTGTGAAAGGGAAAATGACGATTGAAGGCAAGCAGGCTGCGATACTTGCTGAAATTCATGGCATACATGCTGAAATTTGTGGCACCATCAAAGCGATGCTGGAACAAGTTGAGAAATTCCTCCTACAGTAAGATGAATTTAAAGAAAATGCGGGTAATCTCAAGACCACGTTGGATACTAGAGATGTCCTCTGGACAACCTTTAAGAAGATAATTCACCAGCACTGACTTGCGGCTTCTACACTTCTCCATTACATTAGTGATTGTATACAAGCTTCTAACAAGGACATGCACAGAACATTTTGGGGAGAGATCAAAGGTGCCTTCCGAAAGAGCTGTATATAGCAATTCCCATTACTTCTACTTGTGAAACCGAGTAATGGCTGAATTTTGTGTGCCTGGTATTCTACGACTTCTTTGACAACAAAGCAACCTCTGTTTCCTGCTGTTTCTTCCGGTACCTCTGAGCGGTTGCATTAACAATCTTGACAAGGAAGTCCAACAACATGAGCCATACCAAATTGTTCCAAACTGCCAAGGATTCTGAATTAGACAAACTGAAATAAAACCGCCCCTGAGATCAATATCGACAACATATAAATTAAATGCCAATGTAGAAGGATGCATTTTAATCAGCAGAGTTACCTTGATATTTGACGAAGGAGAAGCTGTGAGATACTTTTCCTTTGCCGCATCAATTTTTGCAATGAGGTTAAGGAAGGATAGCAGCAAAACCAGGAATGCAACTGAAAACCCAAATCAATTCATTCTCTATCCATTTAAGAAGTTGATTGTTGCAAACTGAGATGATCAAAACTGTGTGCATATATAGAAAATAAGCAAACCACCACCATTAATCATAAGCCAATACGTAACATACATTTGGTTGCCAAAATATATAGCAAAAGTGAAAACTAAAACATTTTGCGTAAGTGAAACCAAAACATACCAAAAGGAACTTAGCAAATTCTCCACACATAGGGCAAGTTTGGTATGTAGTAGAGTGTTTGGTAAATTTTTTTTTGTAAAAGTGCTTTAAAAAAAAAGTGTTATAGTGTTTGGTAAATTTTTATGTAAAAAACAGCTGTGACTCTATAAAATGACCAAAAAAAGTATAATACTGGGGTGGTGATGGTCGCGACAGCAGTGATGGATGACGATGGTGGTGATCAGTGGTGGTCTGTGTTCGGTGATGTCGGTGAGGAGAGATAGAAGTGGGAAAAGATGAGTTGAGTGGGAAAGGAGGCTAGGTCTCTCAAAGAAACAAATCTCATCCATTCATTCCACTTTAGAAACGGGCCGGCTCGGGGGCCTGTGCATCTATAGATTTGGACTCACTCTGCCTCATAAATACCACTGCCCCGTCCTGCCCCGCCCTATTTCTTCTTTAAAAAAATTAGATTCGGCCCGTACTTCTCCCGACCCGCGGTTCCTGGGTTTATTGATGGCAAAAAAACAATTATCGAACCAAAGGAGTAAACAACAGCAAGGAGATGAAAGGCACGAAGGAAGGCATCAAATGGAGAACTAATCAAGGTGTGTTTAATGTACAGAGTGGCTAGCAGATATTGAAGAGTCCTTCCATTTTCTTTTCTTCTAATGTTGTCAATAAATGAGCTTTAAACTGTTGTTGGCTACGTAGAAGAAAATCAAAATAGAAGAGGAAAAAGAAAAGCTCGACTGAACAATATTCTGGAGAAGCAGAGGACATGCGGCAAGAAAGCAGCAGCAGAGCCAATAATTTTTCAAGGATTTGTAAACTTAATTTTCATTTTTCTTATTATGGACTCATTGTCGTTTTTATCTATGTTTTAGAACTAATTTTCCTTAGCTAGGGTTACGATGTAGCCATGATTATGAATGCTTAAATTCTAAAGTGAATTATTTTCAAGTTTTCAATTTTCATTGAGTATCGTTTGTCGTGCTTATATGCTTGGTTATAGTCTTGGTGATTGGCTACCATCTTGACTCTTAGTAAATTTGATGCAAGCTATGCAGATGCCACGTTTTCAACTTGAGTGATAGCTTGCAAATAAATACCATAAATTATCTAGTAGTAGATGCCATACTCTAGGATTTGTGTAATCTTTATATAAATTTCCACTTATCGTAATGAGTTTCATTAGAGCAGCTCCAGCGTGTGTTGGAGCCTGAGGGTCAGACGAGTGAACAGGGCTAGAGAGCCCGGCGGATTTGGTCCAACGTGTGGCAGCCCGAGGGAGAGGCCTAGTATGAGTTACCAGCCTGAGAGCCCAAAGGCAACGTGATAGAATGCTGACATCAGGATGATGTCAGCCACAATATAAAATTAATAAAAATATAAAATATTAATAAAAAAGTAAAAAAATAATAAAAAATAAAAAAAATGTAAAACCCAGCCTTCGAACTTAATGGCTCTCGCCGGAGTTCGTTGCAGAGGCTAATGATACACCCACAAACAAATGGGAGATATCCAGTCCCTCATCCGCCGCAGCTGCCGTCGCACCCCACACCGCCTTCGCCCCTATCCAAATCGCACGATTGGGGATTTGTTTTTGGAGAGAGAGAGAGAGAGAGAGAGAGAGAGAGAGAGAGAGAGAGAGATTTTAACTAAGGAGTTAGCGATCCTTTACCTACTTAACTAAGGAAAAACTATGAATTTTTGCATGGATCGGCTATTGATGTTGTCAGAGTTTGAGGCCCTGCCTCCGGAGCTCAAGTGAGAGATAGCTGCTGAGCTTGAAAAAGAAAGAAAAAAAAAAACACAGAGCTTTTGAAATGATCATGATCCTGGTGTGTTGGCACCATGTGAAAAGAAGAAATAATAATAATAATAATAATAATAATAAGGTTTTGGAATGGTGCATCGGCACCATGTGAAAAAAAACAAAGGTTTTGGAATGGTGTGCTGCATCATGTGAAAAGAAAAAATTAAACATATAAAAATAAATTTTTTAATAGAAAGTGGTTCAATGAGACCGATTAAAAATCTTATCTGAAGGTACAAATAAAATTATTTTGTATTATTTTTTTTAAATAATAATATTTATTGCCTATTGCCAGGGCTATTCAATGTAGGGGTGGAAATGCAAAAGGTAGTTACTGTTCATTAAGGGCAGTTACTGTTCACTGGGTGGATTAAATAGTGAATAACCCGGGGAGGCCTTAGCAACGGTGGAACTGCTCTTATGTTAAAGTAATCCAAATGCCATGGATGGTTGCATAGTGGAATATACGTAATAGTCTAGATGTCATAGATGACACACCCCGATCGGAGTCGAGGCATGTTGGCCGACACCCAAAGGTGACGTAGCCAAAAGTGTAGGTGAAGTGGAAAAATATGAATAAATTTAAACCAAAGCTAGAAGTTATTTAAGCTAATAAAGAGTGCGGAGTAATGGGAAGAACTCATATTACACAAGTAGTCAGAGCATGGATGACAGTACGACATAAGTAAAGCAGTCGAATCTAGTTAAGATATTATTACACAACCAGAAATAAACTCCTACATTTACTTGAGTGGATGTCAGAATTGTCAGAGATCCCTCGTTCGCCACAGAAGATTCAGCTAACTAAGTCCTGGAGGGGCGAAAAACAGAAAGTGTGAGTGGGCAAAACAAAAGTTCAAGAAACACGTTTATTTTCATAACGTACTAACCCTTCGCCGTAAAACAAGTATATTTTCCGTAAAATCACACTACGTATAAGTATGAAATCAAATCAAATTCATCAATAATTCAAGAAATACAACAAATCATAATATCTCAAACGTAGCATATGAAAATCAGGTGCTCATCAGTATATGCAAGGAGAGAGAATTTCAAGACCTTGCAAAAAGGAAATCCTGGATTGAAGCCAGGAAGGCTGCAATGGTTGCGGAAATTTTCAGCGCCATCAAAGAGACTGAACTGATCCAGGCACAACTCGTGAAATTGCTCCTGCAACAAGATCAATTTAAAGAAAATGAGGATAACCCGAAGACCATCTTGGATATTGGAGATGGCCTCTGGACAACCTTGAAGAACGTAATTCACCCCCACCTCCCTACATGACTTCCTTTCTTGGGTTGCAGTTGGGCTGCAGTTATTTTTCCATTTCTTTTTGGTGTTGTTTCGGACGGTGTTCTTGGTAGATTGAAAAATCATGTTTAAGTCGTATTTTGGTCTTTTGAACTTTAATTGAAGTACTTTTATAAATTTTGGATGGTCAATAACGAGTGCATTTGCTTTGTGAACCTTGTATTTCTATTTTTTACTCTTGTAATCTCTCATCTTCGTTTGATCCGAAACAGAAAGATGAGGTTATAATCAGTATCTAATGCATGACAACGATAAATGGAAAAATTGGTTTTTGATGGATGTATAAAAAAGTCAGAGTTGGCTGCTCGGCATTCACTTTAAATACTCGGCATTCACTTTTAAAGAAAATGAGGATAACCTCAAGACCATCTTGGATATTGGAGATGGCCTTTGGACAACCTTGAAGAACATAATTCACCTCCACCTCCCTACCTGACTTCCTTTCTTGGGTTACATTGGGTAGGGTCGGTCCAGAAATTTTTGAGGCCCGGGGCGAGGTAAAAAAATGTGCCCTCATTTCATATAAAAAAATATATTTGTTTTCACACGTAAGACATCGATAAAATTAGAAACACTTCAAACTCAATAATTTAGAAACACGGAATAATTAATTTATTTTGTATCAAATGAAGGAAACTAAAAAACTTCGGGCTTACAAGTAGATGAATTATGAGTTTTTTTTTTTTCATCTGAACTTTTAAAGTGTTTTTGTATAAATTGTGAGTTATTTTTTCTTATTTACTAACCTCGTCAATATAAGACTAAAAAAATATTAATGTTTTTGAGTCTTTAAGGATATGTATAAGTAATGAATGAACACTAAATTAAACCTTTTGATGACACGTAATATTTTTGCAAATTTGGTGTAAAAATTTAGTCTATGCATTACTCTTTACTGAAGATTAGACTTGAATTGGAACGGATATTTAAAAATAACAACTCACATAGCTACTAGCTGGTAAATAAATTAACAACCAAACAAAAATTTGTAAAAATTGAAAAAATAAACATGCATATAGCATTTCGAACTTAGGACCTCTCGTTAATTTTAAACAACTTCTTGATCATTGCTTCTAATTAAACTTGTTGATCAATAAGAAAAATTTGTTAAAAATTTGAAAAAATTGAAAAAAATAAACATGCATATACCATTGCTTCTCATTAAACTTCTTGATCATTTAGCCAAATTTTATAACTTTATATTATTATGAAAAGAAATTTGTAAAAATAGGAATGTAAATAAGCACACATGGTGTTTTGAACCTAAGACCTCCTCATTCATTTTAAACAACAAAACCACCAATTCTAGTTAAATTTCTTTGTCACTAAACCAAATTTTATAAATTTATACTCTTATAAAAACATATATAAATATACCACCCTAATAATTTTGGTGCCCCCAATTTTTTTGGGCCCCGAACGGTCGCCCTACCCGTACTAGGCCTGGGTAGGGCCTGGCATTAGGGCTGTAGTTCTTTTTCCATTTCTTTTTGGTGTTGTTTCAGATGGTGTTCTGGGTACAATGAAAAATCATGGTCTCTTGAACTTTAATTGAAGTATTTTTATATTATATGACTTTTTTGGATTGTCAATAACGAGTGCA